TCAAATTCCAGGGTACCTTATACTGTTGCTTTTTCAGTTCGACACGGTCAGCCAAAACTATCTCTTCTTATCTTCCTCCTGCACATTCTTTTCCAGTCAAGTTCTTCTTTGAGGTGGCCATTTCTGACCACCACTGCAACTGCCTTCGGGAAAGGGAGTAATGGCCAGCTTGGGAGGAGAGATGCGACTCTCCTTGATCCTGTTGGCAGTCTCCCCCCTCTTCACCACCTCTACGGGGTGGCTTAGCCCTGAAACCAGGCAGCTCGGGGCACTCCAGTGCACTACAGATCGAAACTGCGCACAATCACAGATTTCAGTCTGTCACCGAAAAGCTCAAACTGGAAGCCCTAATTGAGTTCTTATGCCATTATAATTATAGAGTTACCATTATAGTAACCTGAAAATCCTTTTACAAGCTATAAGAAGGATAATTTAACATTAAGTTAAATAAATCTTCTCCAAAAATGGAAAATCCATTTGCATCCCTACTTATTTATCATCTGCCCACTCATTACATTTCTTACTCTTTGGCAAAATCTTAAATGCAGCCTCTAGCCATAAAAACATTTCTCACTGTTGATCTCTAGCAAAAGTGAGGAGATTGCAATCTCCAGATGAGGCTAAAATAAACTTCCAGTAATCCCAGCCACCTAGGCCAACAGTGACAGAAATTGAGAGAGCTATGTCACCACTGATTATCTCATTCACCATAGCTTATCTCATTCTCTATTTCTTCTACCGTATTAATACTAATGTAATACCATAGTAATACTAATACATACATCAGGGTTGAACTGTGAAGCCTTTGGTGCCGTGATAAAATGGATGGCTGAATGGAAAGATATAGATATCTAAATATCTCTATATCTCTGCCTGCCTGCCTGCCTGCCTGCCTGCCTGCCTATCTGCAACCTGGTTAAATGTGGTAGGATCAAGAAGAACCCAGATTTAAGTTCATCCTCAAACATGGAAGCTCATTGGATGACTTTGAGTTTGAACCAAATGTTGTTTGTCAGCTCCATTGACTCATTCATTGTGGGGGGCAAAGAACACTTTGTGTGTGGCTTTGACTTCCTGAAAGAAAGTTCACATCTAATGAACTGATCAATTCTTACATCAAACTTGTTAAAGTAAAACATTAAAAAAAGACTTCGGAAAATAAAAAATAGAGATTGATAGCTTCTTGGGCACTAGTGATGACATTAGTAATGGATGTTTGGCAAAAAGAAAACTAGATGGTAGAACAAAGGATAAAGCAAATGAAAGCAGATCTTATGCAGGCATCAAAATTATAAACATGTAAATAAAAGAGCAAGCTAACACATCTAACTGAGTTTAATATAATGTATTCCTAAATAAAGGAGCATAGGTTTATCCTCTAAAAGGTAGAATTTGTATCTGAAATACCAAGGAGATAAACAAAAAATAATTATATAGAAAGATGGCATTAGGAATAAAGTAAAGATTTACAAAACCAGTCCTCTGTCTTAGGTGCCCTACTTTGGGGCAATAGTATAAGGTTGGGCTATCAGAGGGACATTTTGCTATAGAACAGTCTTCACAAAAGTATTTTGTTGCCTTATTTATGTCTTTGTATAATTCATATGTTTACTTGAAATAATGGTTTCTATGCTTCACTAGAAGTTTCTCAGATAACCATGAAAATGGTCCACAAAATAAGTGCAAAGGTAATTTTGTAATTTTTAAACATATGCACATTTAATTCATCAGAAATGTGAAAAACAGCCAAATGATTTTGTATTCTTTACTTGCTTCACTATTGAGGTTATGAATTTCTGTATTCATGGTGGAGAAAGTATAAACTAAAAAATAGTGTTAGGAACAGAGGGTTTATTGAAACCACAAAATATTTTAAGTCACTCTGCAAAGACTGTAAACTTTTCATAAAACTTTTAACAATAACACTGACTTAATAGGACAATTTGCAAAGAATACTATGTGTGCCTTAGAATAGTTATTTTTCTTCTATCCCCAGGCATACCAAATATTTTCCCCCAAGATCTTATTTTAAAGTTGCAGAATATTTTCTCTGAAGGACTTTTTAAAAACAGTACGTCTTTAACACTTTACATGTTTATTTAGTACAGAATTTGTGGAATGGTGTTCTAAAATTTGGGGTGCATACATCATCCCCACCCTCATGTGCTTTTGACTTAGTTGTACAATCCAGGATATTCTAGTTCAGGGATGTCAAACTCAAGGCCTGTGGGCCAAATCCAACCTGCAGGGTGATTCGATCTGGCCTGTGGGGCCACCCTGGAAACAGCGAAGGACCGCCCCATGGTGCCTCTGCAAGCGAAAACAGAGCAAAAGGTTGCAGGAGGCCATCCCAGCCAAAAATGGAGCTCAGGAGCCTGGTTTTGCTGATAGAGCGCTTAGGCCACCACAGGCACCCCCAACACGAGTGTTGTCAAGCTGGCCATGCCATCCCTGCCCCCACAAGGTCAAACACAACTCTGATGTGGTCCTCAATGAAATTGAGTTTGACACCCCTGTATAGTTTATGTGAAACAAAAAATTGTGTTTTTTTCAACAACTTATGTTTAAACACTGAACATTTAAAACAATAAAGGCTTAAAGGTTGAGATGCAATCAGCAAAAGTTGAAAATCCAAGTTCATTTTCCTTCAGTCACAAAGCCATAAGCTTTATGTTGACCATTCTATGTAAAGAATTCCAAATAAAATTAGAAGTAAGAGTAAGATGAAGAGCTATGTTTAAGCACTGCACTGACATTGGGAAGAGCCAGGATTTAATTATCATCAGACAAGGAACCTCAGTGGACCAACCAGTATTTCACAGTCTAATCCAGTATTTCTCAAGGTTGGCTGGGGAATTATGGAAGTAGAAGTCCATCCATCTTAAAGCTGCCTGTACATTTAACTGATCTGAGGATAAAACTGAAAGAGGGAGTGATACATATCAACTTCAATGCCTGGGAAAAATAAACTTAATATAACTTATTTGTTGTCTTAGCCTTCTTGGGGAGCACAAATGAATAACAATCACATTCTTTAAAGCCAAATAATGAACTTGCAATAAAACCGTAAGATTCTGCTTCAGTGACATATGTTGTAAGGTCAACATTTTTTTGAGTATGAAGAAATATCTGATTGAGAGCTGTTTCTTGTGGGGAAGCAATATAAGTGGTCAGTGAATAAGTTAATTCAATGTTGTTGTTTTAGAAAACTAAGTATTTTGCTGAGCGTTGTTGAATTGTATTAAGAAAGCTTCCTCCTTTACTGCAAAAAATTGAAGCTGAGAGTGTTTACACACAATCGAAGTGGCCTTAGCTGAAGGTACTGTAAGGTCCCAGAAGTTTCCCCAAGCCAAGGAGTTGCCAAAGAGTGAGACTCGAGACGAGGCTTGCAAAAATAACCGCTTTTTTATTCTTTGGCCAAAGCAAAGTCTGGGTGAATACTATGTCCAAAACATACAGACAAAATGCATGTAAGCAATAGCCACACCCTGCGAGAGTAGCTCAGAGTATTATATACATTTTACGCTGATAGAAACAAAGGTTATCCAATCAGAGACAAAGGTTCATTATTAATGTGGGCAATGTCTTACTCATGCCCTCCCCTTCCTTATCCATGGAGCGTTCTTTGTCCGTGCTGTCCATAGTTCGTTATTTTACACAGTATCCCTTGTCCTTGTGTGTTCATGCTCCTGGGTAGTCACCCCCTTATCTATGGAGTAGGATGTTCATGGGAATTGTCTCCAAGGATGTGTCTAGCTCTGAAGCAAATTGCAAGGCGAGAAACCAGATAGAAAAGGATACAATTCTCTTACAGAATGAATTCCCAACAAATAATTTCCATCCTTAGCAAAATAGTACAAGCAACTTCTTTAACAGATGCAAAGAGCAAAGGTTAGATTGATTCATGTCAGAATGTCCTTTCAGTACGTTGCCAATCTATGCATGCTACAAGGGTGAGCCCTATTTCACTAACATTGTTTTGCACGTGAAATATGAATTAGTCAAAAATGAAGTTTATTTATTTTTATTAATTTTATTTTGTCAAGTGATTATAAGATAACAGGTATAAGTATAAACATAGTTATGAATACATGAAATGGATACATATAAGAAAAATAAAAAGAAACAATAGGACAGGGACGGTAGGCACGTTGATGCACTTATGCACGCCCCCTACAGACCTCTTAGAAAAGGGGTGAGGTCAATAATAGACAGTCTAAGGTTAAAGTTTTCAGGGTTTGGGGAAGAAACTACAGAGTCAGGTAGAGTATTCCAGACATTGGCCATTCTGTTGCTAAAGTCGTATTTCCTGCAATCAAGTTTGATGCTGTTTACCTTGAGTATGTATCTAATGTGTGCTCTTGTATTGTTATGGTTGAAGCTGAAGTATTCATTGACAGTTCCTGAAAGTTAAGTGAAAGTCTTTTGCATAGCAATCTGGGCAGCACCAACAGTTCGATCTTGGAGGTACAGAACTGCAAGTGCAGCTTTCCCCACCAATTTACTTTGGTGAATCACATGCGTTGAACTTGAACTTGATCATGCCCCAAAAGGAGATGAAAACCAGCGTTTTCATCAAACAAACTGATTTTGGAGAGCCAAGAAAGCAGGTGATACAGCAGCAAAAAGATTCAAAACACGACCTCACTGCTCCTATTTGCGGTCACCCATATTTTTATGTTTTATTTATTTTGATTTGTCAATCGCTTACAAGATAATAGGTATAAGTATATACATAGTTATGAAGACATGCAATGGGTACATATAAGAAAAATAAAAGAAACAATAGGACAGGGATGGTAGGCACCTCAGAATTTGATGAGGAGCAACAGGTTGGGGAAGGCGCCTGCCTTTTTTTAGACCATTTGATCAGGGAAGTCCCAAGGTAGCTGTTGACTCGGGCATGCGCTTCATTCGTTCCCGAGACCAACCGTCATACGCGCAAAGCGGTAGCCTCAGCGCCCAGCCTACGGGGAGGCGAAGACGACTTACGGGGCGGGGCTTCGCGAGGCCAAAGGTGAACGGTGTCAACATGGCGTCTTCAATGGAGCTGAGTTGCTGGGGCGGCGACTGGGGGTTGCCCTCGGTGCACGCCGAGTGCCTCGTTGTCATGGTAACGGGGGACTGGCTAGGTCACGCGAGCGAAAGCCTCTTGTGGGGAGGAGAAACGAAAACGGCTGTTATAGATTATAGAAGGCGACGTCCTACAAAACCGGGAGGGTTGTCCGGTTCTTGCCGCTGCCAGAACCGGCCCGGCGGTCACGGTCGCCGCCCCTGGAATAGAACTGAGGAAACGGAACTTCCGCGTTTCCAGGGCCGTTGTTGGGCTGGCTTTCTTCGCCAGAAAGTTGAAACGAGTCTGCATAAATGGGATATCGGTTCTGGAGGGAAATAAAAATGGATTAAGTACCAGTATTACGGGGTCTATAACTTGGCGCATCGCAGGGATGGGCTATAATATCTCCTACATTAAGTAATTAGGAATTGCGTTTAATGCCGGTCATTTAATCCAACCACCATGCTTGACGATGATGGATGCTCCAATTCAAAACATTTGGAAAGCATGGAGCTGGGAAAAAAACTGGTTTAATGTGATAGCTGCGGCATATATTTACTGAGTTATTGGATCTGTGCTTTCCATTTTCAGAAGGCAAACTTCCCCTGACCCTATTTCTGGACTACAGTATTTTAATTTATTGTTTCCTTTTTTATATACAATCCTGGAATTTGCATTGTTTTTTCAGCATAGTTTTTTCTATGCATAGTTTTTTCTTTAGATGCTAATTCTTTGAGGCTTATGCCACAAACATGTCTCTGGTCACATCACAGAAGCTCCACAGGAATTAATGTTATTGACTTATTCAAGGGCACTGGATTGGGGAAAGTTATGTTTCATCTGGAAGTCTGGTCTTCTTTCAGGACTGATTCTGAGGCTTTAGGATAGCAAAACAATGACTTAAGAATCTGTCCCAGCATTTATGATTCCTATATTGCTTGTCTTAAGATAAACTAGATTCATATGTGGAAAAATTAAAAATTGACATTTTTCATTTCCAAAAGTGTGTATTTATAATCTCAGGAAGTGAAATTTTATTTTGTTTGTTTATCCATCCATCCTGCCATTATTTTTATTAATAACTGTAGGCAGTGAACATATCTAATATTCCTTCAACCTCCTATATTCCCAACAACAACCCTGTGAGGTGAGTAGGCTGGCAGAGAATGACTGACTGGACCAGTTACCTAGCTGGCTTTCATGCCTAAAGTGGGACTAGAATTTATAGTCTCCTAGTTTCTAGGCCAGCATCTTAACCACTAGTCTAAACTGGATTCAACTTCTTTGTGTCTGAAGTGGAGTTGCTTTGCTAAATATTGATAAAAAAAGCAACTCTTAAAAAAAAAAAGCTTTCTTCTAGTGGCCAATTAATATCCCACTGAAATTCATAGAATGAATGGATAATTTCCTATTGGTTATTGTAGCCTTGATGCTTACTATGGCAACAGAATAACACAAGCATGAACATTAAAAGAAATAAGTAGCTGCTGTTTTTCCAAGCTGAATAGTCATTTTCTCTTTTTTAAAATTTCTGAATGGTACATTATTGAATTGTGTTTTTTTAAACTTTTATTATAGACTTATGCCAGGTTTTCAGGTGCACCGTTGAAAATCAATGTAATAGATAATACATGGAAAGCACCAAGAGGTATTACTTTAATATTTTGATTTTTTTATGGCACATTTAAAGTCAGACCTGGGCATTTTATGACCTATGCACCACATCTGGCCCTTCGATCATCCCTGTCTGGCCCAAGGTGGTGGTGGGAGGGGGAGGCAACAAGGGGTAGGTGGGCAGGGGGGCTGGCAGGGGGATGCCGGTGATGCCAGCCCTCCACAACTATCCTAATTTCTCACCCTGGTTGTATATATATTTAGAACTGTTTAAATAAGAAATTGGTTTGACTTGGCTTATAGTCCAGTCTTGAAATACATTCCAGTGGATGGAATCAAAATAAAGTTTGTTTTACACCTGCAGTATGTTGTAAGGCAAATGCAGAAAAATATTGAATAAATTGCTTTGATGCGGTTCTGTTGTTTAAAACAGTGGTCCCCAACTTTCTGGCACCAGTGACCAGTTTTGGAAGAAAAATTGCCTTCCGCAGACCGGAGGGAGGAGTGGTTTTCTGCGCAACCTAGATTCTGCGCATGCACAGATGGCGCTTTGCTCGCTTGCCTTGCTGCTTGCGCAACCCAGTGCCTAACAGACCATGGACTGGTACCAGTATGTGACCTGGGGGTTGGGGACCCCTGATTTAAAGCATAATTGTACAATGCAAGCTAAATGTGAATCATATAATAGGAATTAGGTAGGATAATAGATTGTCAACATTTAGAGCTATAATATCTATCTAGTAACAGAATCAAAACCCATCCAAAATCAGCTGGTATGCTGATATAGTATCACAACTACAAAATGTAAGCATTATTACAAAGACATGACTTGAATATAAAGAAATGAAAAATAAGGTGGATTACAATCTGATATAACTTAGATTGAAGATACTGAGTCAATATCTGATATAATCAAACATTAGGGTCTGTTGAGTTATCAATGCAGTTCTTCTGTTTATATGATCATATCTGATTTAATCTTTTTTAGGGAGTATACCATTGTTAATATCAGATGATATTGTTATTTCTCAGCCAGCAAAAATATTAAACTTTTTAAGAAAACAGGTAGGTTTCATAATTAACATTACCTATTTCAATATGTTTAAGGATGATGTACTCTAGCCTTGTTTTATGTTTGTTAGTACTGTATATAGTTTTGTCACAGGAATATTGGAGGAACTGATGCCGGTTAATTTAATTTTCTATATTAAATGGACAGTGTCGGTAGTAAACTATTTGTATTTTCTCTGACAGTTATATTAGGTTTAGATTACTACTAACCATAGTTCTATCGGTGATATAATAAAGAATGGAATTTTTGAAAGTTTTTTTTTCACTGTGATGGTGAACTTATGCCACTTGTGCTGGAAGTGGCACACACAGCCATCTCTCTGGGCATGCCAGCCATCACCCATTGCTCTTCTGATTTCCAGCGCATGCATGTGCATTAAAAACTGGCCGGCCAGCTGGTCTTTGCATGTGCATGTGTGTTAGAATATGGAAGACCAGATGGTTGGCGTGCATTCATGCACCAGGAGCTGCTCTTCCGGTTTCTGGCGCACATGTGCGCACACGCTCCCATTTCAGCACTTGGTGCCAAAAAAGTTAACCACCACGGATATAGCACATCTATTAGTTAGCATTGATACTGTCTACATGGTACAAATCTTTTTGCTTTGATGATTGTAGCATATAGGATGGCAGTGTCACTATCTTTATTCTTTGAATTGCTACCTACTTAAATTAAGAAGTAATCTTAATTTTTCTTTGAGTGAGGGAGTTGTTCCTTTACCTCTTAAGGGGACTGTGGTTCACTCCCTTCTTAAGAAACCATTGCTGGTCGTACCATACTGGACAATTTTCAGCCAGTATAACTTAGCTTTTTTGCAGAAGGTGATTGAGATGATAGTTGCATAACAAATTCAGAAGACATTGGAAGAAATACATTATATGGATCCCTTTCAGGCACCATTCAGGCCTTGGCATTGGACAGAAATGTCATTGATCATGCTTGATCTATGATCTCTGATGAGGGCGGGATGGGGTTGTACATCTATCCTTGCTCTATTTGAGCCCTCTGCAGCCTTTAGCACCATTGACCATGGTATCCTTCTATATTGGTTTAGAGGATTTGGGTGGGCTACAAAATGTTGTGCTAGTTTGCCTACTTTCTCCAGAGTCAATTCCACTCGGTGGTGATTTGGGAGGAGAGATCCTGCCCTCAGACTTTACCATGTGGGGTTCTGCAGGGTTTGGTGCTTTCTTCTCTCCTATTCAACATCTACATGAAGCCGTGTGAGGAAGCTTATTCCTCACCCTGATATGAGATATCGGTATACTGATATACCCAATCATATATCTCTGCCTCTGACAAATTAAGTGATGCTATAAACCACTTATTCCAGTGCCTAGACTATGAGGGTCTAGATGGGGAACAACAGCTTCTGCTGAACCCTGGAAAAACTGAGTGACTGGATTTGGGGATTTACCATTTCTAGGACTCTGCCATCTTTGGTGCTGATAGGGTCACACTTCCCCAGATAGACCTATTGTGCAATTTGGAGGCCTCTTGGATGCATAACACTTGCTCAAGTAGCAAGTGGAAGTTGTGGCTAGGAAGGCCTTTACACAGCTGCATGTTGTGCACCAGTTGCACCTGTTCTTAGATAGAAGGCTCTGCTCATGTCCTAATCACCTCCAGATTGGATTTCTATAATGGGACTGCTCTTGAAGAGTATTCAGAAGCTTCAGGTAGTGCAGAATACATTGCAGCAGCATGGACAATTATTTGCTTCCAGAACAGCACACCTCTGCTCCAGGAGCTGCATTGGTTTGCTTCTGGGTCCACTTCAAGGTATTGGTTTTAACCTTTCAAGCCCTTCATGGCAGGAGACCAGGTTATCTGAAGGATGGTCTTTCCCCAATTACATCTGCCCATCCCATTCATCTGCTAGGAACTTTAACATTTGGCAGTCCCAGGAGGTGGGCTTTCTCTGCTGTAGTGCTCACCTAGAACATTCTCCTCCCACCCATATTAGGTTAGTTCCATCCCTTTTTGATGTTCCAGAGGTCCCTCAAGACTGGCTTTGTTATCATGCCTGGTAGGCTGTGAGGGGACCAAGGATCTTAAGAAGGCTGTAGTGTTTAATCTACTGTTTCCTGGATTGTACAGTTGTATTTTTAATAATGACTTTTTAAATAATTCTTTTTATATATTTATTGTTTTATTTTAATGGTTATATGCTAATAGGAGTCACTTCATGAGATGGGTATTTATTTAGTAATTTTACTAAATTAATACATGATGACTTAAAAATATGTGCCTGATTTAAAAAATATTGACAGGCGTGATCTGCATGCGCATACATGCTCTAAATCAATTTCATCTCTTCTAATCACTTTACAAGCTCCATGATATACCGTATTTGCCGGCGTATAAGACGACTTTTTTGCCCTGAAAAACATGCCTCCAATTGGGGGGGTCGTCTTATACGCCGGGTCATCTTATACGCCGGCAAATAGTAATTGGGAAGCACTGCGGCTGCCCGCGGCTGAGGAACTTTTGCGCACCGTGGAAACTAATCCCGTGAAGCCGAAAGGAGCAGCCAGCCTTCTCCCAGCTCCCAAGGAAACGAGGCTCGCACCGCCCGAGCTCCGCTGAGGTATCCGGCTGGGGCTGTCAGGAGTTGTTACCGCTGGCGCGGCTCCGCGCGGCTCCAGTCCCGCGTTGCCTCGGGAAGGGAAAGGCAAAAGCCGCGGCTCTTCCTTTTTGCCTTTCCCTTCCCGAGACAACGCGGGACTGGAGCTGCACGGAGCCGCGCCAGTGGTAACAACTTCTGACAGCCCCAGCCGGATACCTCAGCGGAGCCCGGGCGGTGCGAGCCTCGTTTCCTTGGGAGCTGGGAGAAGGCTGGCTGCTCCTTTTAGCTTCATGGGATTCGTTTCCACGGTAGACAAAAGTGCCTCAAAAAAAAAAAAAAGTGCAAAAGTAGAAGGCGTGCGGAAGAGGGGGCGAGTATATAACAAACTATATTTTGAGTGGAAATGTTGGGGGGTCGTCTTATACGCCGGGTCGTCTTATACGCCGGCATATACGGTAATAAAATGTAATAGAAACCTTTTGTTTGACTAACAGTCTAAAATGATCCATGTGGATAGAAAGGTTGAAAACTGTTTAAAGTCTAATACTGTAGTCTTCTCTTCTAAACTCAGACTAGTTGATCTGTTTCTAAAGGAATCAAGCAGAAATTAGAAACCTAGAAAACTGCTTATGACTGAATCATATTTATGCAAGTATTATTAACACTAACTGGTAGATTTTTTTCAGGCAGAAGTTTTTCTAACGCTCCTGAAGGTACATGAGACCTTCAGTATGTAAAGGTGGTGTCTAATACTGAGATATGCCTTCCTTTTTTCCTGGTTAGTGTTATATCAGACATTGCAGAATTTCAAAATGTTAAAAGAGAAGATTGTGAGTGGGAAGAATCCCAGGTGCTAGTAAAAAAAGGGGGGCTTTTTTAAACACTTGGCTTGAGATGTTTCAGAAAATGTGTTCTTTTTCAAGGGCGCTCCTGCAACGTACATGAACAAATTGACAGAGTCAGTTCATGGATATTCTAGAAATGTCTTTGAAAAAGAACACGTTTTCTGAAATGCATCAGGGTAAATAAAAACCATGTTTTATTGGCACATAGAATTTCCTCCTCTTTTTTTGTTCAATTCTTCTGCTAACAGAAACTGCTTACAAAAGAACCGAAGGAGATTATGTTATCTTGCTCAAATAATAGGCTTTTGTTTAAAGTAAAATTCATGAATGGTGAAGCAGTTAAGAATGGCTACAGATTGATTCCTATTATAACATCTGGTCAGCAGAAGGAATTATATTTTGTTCTCCTAGGGAGCCACTCTGAAACTGGATAGTGGAATGCATATTCACTGTAGAATCGAACTGTATCTCCTAAATCCATAATTTCATCAGAATGTTCTGATAGCATGCAATTTGAAGTATTTTGATCATAAAATAGAAACTAAACATCAACTGCTTTCTTCCTTTTTGTAGTTATAGACTCATGCAAATAATAATTCACCCTGTTATATACTGTAGTATATACTATGCCAAGAGCATCACTTTATAAAAGATATATTTCAAAGGTTCCCATTGAATCAATGTAAGCAACATTTATGCATACTTTTTTCCAGCTATCTAGCCAGCCCTAGAACTGAACCAGAGAAGATCTAAAAAGGATAGAATCTCCTCAGCACAGTTCACAAATAATGCAACAGCAAAAAAAATTACTTTTCTGTTTGTGACCTTGAGGATTCCTGATAATATATGTACTCAGAAGGAATATTTTATATTTATTATTGTTGAGAAAATGTATATCAAACCAGTGTCATTAAGAATTATGGGCAATTTATAAATATAAGTAAATCAAAAAATAGCATCCATTTTGAAAAGAACCAATTAATAAAAAATATGAAAGTTAAATAATTTTATAACAGGTGGATCTCAACGTATGGCTACAATTGGGACTGGAATCTCTTGTTGTTGAACAAAAATGTTCATTAAACAATCAATCCGTTCATCAATTCTACTGGAGGATTTAAGCTTCACATGGATCTAAATCCTCCTGGGAGGCAGTTCTTTGAGAGCAAAAGGGAAGGTTTTAACTCTACACAGGTTGAAATCCTCCTGGCAGGCAGCCCTTTTGCTCTGGAGTGTTCCTGCAGTCCACTAAAAGATTTCAGCTCCCCTTTGTGCATGGAGGGGAAATTCTTTGTTGGGGCTCTTGAAATGCAACCATATGACTGTGTGGGGCAGCATGGCGTTTATTATGGCCAAAAGTGCTTCACAGACCATAAAGCACATTTTCCAAGGCTATTGTAATTTTGAATAGTTGTTAAATGACCTATTGTAAGTTGAAGACTACCTGTAAAACAGCTGACAAAATATAATTTAGTCTACTTCCTTAACTGTAGTTCAAAGCAAGCTTGTTTCAGCTCCAGTAATTTATTGGATTCATTTCAATAATATGGAGCCAACCACCAGAGAGAACTGAACTAATTATTGATGACAAATGTATCCATAATGAAAATTTCTGATGCTTTAAGAAGTAGGAAGGACTGAATGAGAGTAGATGGTCCTGTTAGTTGTTTGGATCTAACAACCTGGCTTTAAAATTCAACAAACAGACAATGTAACCTTTTTTCATGCATTTAATAGTCTGAAAGGAGAGCAGCATAGCAACACAATTTAGGATGCATTGGTATTTTGTAACCTTGGTATTTTGTAACCTGCCTGAAAGATAAAACACATAAAGACTCCATAGGAACAATAGCATTATGTTGCAACCCATGCAGTTTAACTTTCTCAAAGCAAAACACAAACAAAAACCTAGCCCAAAACACAACAGTTATCAGCAGAGAGCTGTTAATGTTTAACTGATTCTCCCTCACCCTATGTCTGGCTCCCAAGACTAAAAAAGATACAGAATGATTCTTCCAAGCAGATTTATGTATTGTTCCATACCCATCAACAAAATCTTGCAAACTGAAGCAGGCTACTACCTACATGAAGATATACTCTGAGAATTATTAGGGAGCAGCTGTCTTTATCCTCCTTCTCTCACACAAATTATCTGAACTCAGTTGTCTCTTCTCTGGAATATACTCCCAAATTACATTCCATCATAATCTCACCTCATTTGGCTCTATCAAGTGACATCAGGGACGAAACCTTTTATTGGCCAATGCATTCTGTAGATCTTTTTAGCTTAAAGAGTTTTTTTTAATAACAAACACAAACCAGTTGTAGACATCAGAATGCTCAAAAAACTCCATTGGTTGCAGTTTCAAAGCAAAAACTGAAAACAGAATTGTCCATGTTCAACATTTCAAACAGGCATTTCAAGTAAGTAGAAAAAGAAAGAAATGCTATTATTATTCCATGTGTTTAGTGAAATATAAAATGTGTAACTAACTTCAGTTATTACATCTATTTTCTCTTCATATAACACTCTGTTGCCTTTTTTTGGCAGAAATATAATGCTGATTATGACTTGTCTTCAAAGGATGGAGCTGATACACTGGCATATATTGCACTGCTTGAAGAAAAACTACATCCTGCTATGGTAAGAGCCAACTAGTCTCTCAACTTGCATTTAACCACAGCACAATTATTTCCTCTCCATCCTCAAATTATGGCCTTCAACTTCTCCCTGATCCACAATATGACTGACAGACTTAAATTGTACTTAGCAAGGTTGTTATGTTTCACTATCCTTTATATTGGAGGTGAAGTCAGGTGATTAGCAGTGGGCTGATTGGACATTCCAAATTTTTTCCTGTTGATTCCCATTCTGTCACCATTCTGTTACCATTCTGTTATTCATTTCCTGCTGAGCTGAGAGAATTATTTTAATTCCTCACTTTTATATTGATGTAAATATACGGATGTATATTTACATGTAATTATAAGGATGGGTGCTTATGGTGAAATTCAGCCTAAATATAGCTTTGTGTTTTCATTGGATGGATACCTGGTGCTGCTCAAGGAACCTGCAGGTGTGGCAGAAGTTGGGGGATTTGTTTTATTATGGCACTAAAAAGTTTAGTCCATATTTTAGTGAATACTTTTTCTACTGACCCTACTGGTTCCTCAAGGCTATAGTAACATGACAGTGAAATGAAAGACCAGGAATTGTTCTCATGAAAACCAGCATTGGAATGAATTGACACTTTACAAATATTTTATGCCAGAATGGTTTGTTGAAACAACAGCACACAAACAACCTAAAGCCGTTCAACAGAGCCCAGTGTTGCACTCTTTCCATTTCTGCTGCAGGGACGCAATTGGCAGGTGTTTCTCTTTACTTTGTAACATGTTGAAAAATAAGGGCAGCAAAGCAGTAGTACTTAGCCCGTCTTTTATCCAGTATGCACTGCAAATGCATAAGCGATACTAGAAATCACTAGAATTCACTAGTGATTTAGAAAAGCCAGGATAATGTTAGGCACTGGTCAGTAAACTTCACGTTTACATAGGTTTGCACTAAGATAAGGATCAGTAGATAATACTTTTTAAAATAGGCATATAGAGCTACTACATGTGCCAAAGTTAATATTTTGTCATTTTCTCATTGAAATTTTGTGCCATCAAGTTAGAGTTAACTCTTAGCATTACATAGATTGATTTTCTCTATGACAATTTGCCCCTAAACTGGTTGTTCAAATTTTCTAGTGACGCATCAGTTTTACAGCTAGTTATCCCTTTCTTCTCTTTCCTCCATTTTGCTCAGCATTAGCTCCTTTGCCAGAGTTAGGACTTCATATAATGTGTTTAAGGTAGCATAATTTGAGCCTGGTAATTTATGTCTTGAGAGAGAACTCTTGGATGATTTATTCAATGATCTGTTTGTTTGCTTTCTTGACAGTGCATGGTATTCGCAGGATGCTTCTCCAATGCCAGAGTTCAAAATTGTCAATACAGTTCTGTTCCTATCCTGCTTCTTCAAAGGCCACCTTCTGCTTCCATAAAGTGGCATAAGGAATTACTGCTAGCACTATTTCAATTTTTGTAGTATAAACATATCATGGCATCTTTTCAAGGGCCTTCTTAGCCATTCTACCAAATACTAATCTGTAGTGTTTTTCTTAACTACTTGTTCTTTTACGATGGATGGTGGATTCTAAAAAGCAGAAGCTTTCACTTCAATATCTTCATTGTCAATTCTAAGGGTTGTTTTTATACCTGATGTCATTCATTTAGTTTTCTTTTTATTTAATTTTAATTTTTACCATACTCTTTGAGTTTTATCATTAGAGTTTGCAGATTCTTTTTATTTTCAGCTATCAAGAATAATGTCATCATTTTAATGCAGGTTATTGATGTTTCTTTCTCCAGTTTTAAAATCACATCTCTTTCAACACAACTTCCCTTAATATATATCCAGAAAATAGGTTAAAGGTACATCCTTGTTTCACTTTTTTGCCAGTCTGGACCCAATCTGTTTTGCTGTGTTCTGTCCATACTGTGACTTCTTGGCCCTGTATATAGGTTTTACATTAGGACAATGTGATATTCTGGAATCTCCATTTTTCTAAGCACGTTCCATAGGTCGACATGATTAACATAATCAAAGGCCTTTCTAATGGATCACATACTAACTTTTTGGTATTCTGTGGCTTTCTCAATTATCCAGCATGCATCAGCAAAATGTCTCATGTTCCTTGGCTTTTTCTAAAGCCAGCTTGAACATCTGGTGTTTGTTTTTCCATTAGGGTTCTAATCTGTGTTTGATGATCTGAAGTATTATTTTGCTAGGATGTAAAATTAAGGATATTGTATGATAGATGTGTGTGCATTGTTAAGTTCCTTTTTTTGGTTTTGGAATGTAGATTGATCTTTTCAAATCTATTGGCCACTCTGTCATTTTCCAGATTTGCTGGCATAGCTTGGTTAGAACTTTCACTGATTCTTCTTTTATTGTTTGCCATATTTTTGTGGGTATTCCATCAGTTCCTATAGCCTTCTGACTTAATAATGACCAGGGTGCTGATCTACTATAATGTCATCTTCTAGTACTAAGATTTGTGTAAATAGGGAACATGTTTCAAGGTATCTTGAATGTTGATATTTCTACTGTGTAATATTTCAGTGTGCTCCTTTAATCTTTGATCTTCTGGTAGTGAAACAGTTACTATCTGTCCATTGACATCCTTTAGCATACCAATTTGAGACTGAACTTCTTCAGAGATTTTTCACAAGATTATCCTTTTTAAATGTCTATTTCCATCTTCTGTATCTTTACAGATGTTGTAATAGTGCTTCATGTCTCTTCTTAAAAGCTCTCTGAAACTCTTCTTAAGTTCCTTCCTGAGGTTTTTACCTTTCTTGGCTTTAGCTTCTCTTCTCTTCTTGGCAATCTTGATGCTTTTTTTCCTGACATCCAGTTTGTGTGTTTCTGTTTCTTCATCTTTGGCAGTCTGTTTTCACTTTCCTCTTTAGCCAGTTCTTCTGGTTCTGTGTCAATAACCTCAGAACTTCAAAGTGATTCCTGGTGTTCTTTGTGAAAATGGTAGATCTATGTTCATATTCTGGAAACTGTGTGTCTTTCTTGTTCTTCTTTAGCCCAAATTAGAACCTGCACATGAGCATTGTAGTTTTTAATCTCTTACACAGTTAGCACCTGGCTTTCTGTTTGATACCATAAGTGAAATCTTCTAACCAGTGGTAGAATTCAAATAATTCAAAAACCAGTTCTCTGCCCCGATGACCAGCTGGGTAGGCATGGCTGGGTGGTCATGTGACTGGGTGGGCATGGCCAATTCGATGCCACTCATGTCAAGGGGCACTTTGCCTCGTCCGGCCTCTCGTGACCATGGGGATGCTGCAACAGTTGTATGTGTGAAAAATGGTCATAAGTCCCTTTTTTTAGTGCCATTTAACTTTGAATAGTCACTAAATGAACTGTTGTAAGTCCAGGATTACCTGTACAAAAATACAAAAAGCTTCTTTGCTTGCAAAAAGCTGCCCTAAATATCAATCATTAGATTAGAAATAGGCCATCATGGAAACCTAAACCATTCAGTCTGAATACCTTCCTTTTCATCAGCAATACCTGTAAGCCAGAGTTACAAATCAGGCAGGGTGCCAGACAGAGGTGGTATTCAGCAGGTTCCGACCAGTTCTGGAGAACCAGTAGTGCAAATTTTGAGTAGTTCGGAGAACAGGCAAATACCACCTCTGACTGCCCCCGCCCCCAACTATTCTCTGCTTCCCGAGTTCCAGCTGATTGGCTGGGTCTTCTTTTGTTGCCCTGCAGAGGAAAATGGAGCCAGAAAGCAGGTTAGTGGGGTGGGGAGGGAATGGAGATTTTGAAGTATCGTTTCCCTGGAGTGGGGAGGGAATGGAGATTTTACAGTATCCTTCCCCTGCCATGCCCACCAAGCCACACCCACAGAACTAGTAGTAAAAAAATTTGAATTCCACCACTGATGCCGGAGCACCTTGAGCAATTAAAATAGTTAAAATGTAACCATAACTATCAGCAGCCAACTCTTGCTCATAAAGTGAAACTCTTTAGCAGAGAGGTCATTTACGCTTTCCAGAAAGTGGGTGGGAACACTTGGGCTACAAAATGCTGAGCTAAAGAGACAAACAAAGTATAGAGGGGACCCAGGTTCAAGCATCCCAAGCTTGTCAGGATCACAGTAAAATTAGTACATGCCACAGATATCTAAATAAACTTCAAGCCTGGTGCCATGTTATTAAACCTTATTATCATGAGAGAAAACTAAAACAAATTGGAGGATGCACTCCTTTTTTTAAAAAATCTTACTGTCAGTGAGCAATCGTGCCTTGGCCACTCCAAAGCAATGCAAAAGCAACAAAAGTGCTTTTTCAAGAAGCAACTGGACTTAATCAGCTTTGTAAGTTACACTTGTGTGGCCTACTTCTTAAAAACAATAGTTCAGCTTAAGTCTGGACTGTGTTACTTCACATTGTGAATGGTAATTTGATTAAAATATTTCAGAAGGAAAACTAGAAGGTGAAAAGGATTCTATGCTTTATTTTATTAAAATATATGTTTTCTGTAAGTGGGTCATACAAAACATGTATTTGCAAATGCAAAAAAGCAAATGAAATTAATCAAGAAGCAGTAGTATGCAATAGTTTATTATTAGTTTTCAAAAATAGATTTTATATTGTATTTATATTGCAAAGTGGCACAAAGCAAAAAAAAACTACAAATGTTCTTGACATTTTTATTACATGTAGGTTTCTGCCTAGTTTGTAAAAATGAGGCCCGTGATATAATCATTAAGCTAATTATGAGATTGTTTGAAATTTCAAAGTTACATTCCCAGATCATAATGTTATTGATTTTGATTTTAGTTAGCATGTTTCATGAACCCTGGCATTATGATTTGCGGTGTTTGAACCAAATTTCTGTGGCTTGTTCAGCAACTGTGATCAAAACAAGTTATATGTTAGTGTGATATGTGCTCAACTATTATTATCATGTATGTTTTTCAAATTAAATACTTTTATAGCTTATTTACATAAATTATATTTCAGGAAGAATATGCCTTTAGAGGAAGAACAGTGTTACTTCTAGTCATTTCATTATAATAAATGTGCTGAATTTCCCTAATCATAAATCTGGACTATGTATATGTATAAACACTTAGATTTTTAATTTAGAGATAAAAGCTTCAGTAAAAAAAATCTGCATTTCGTTTTTAAGAATTAAAAAAATATTGTAGTCTTTATAGACTGTGACTTCATTCTTGAATATTAACATTCTTTATCTTCATGGTACAGCTGTATACTTTTTGGATTGAAGCTGATAATTACTATAATTTGACAAAACCATGGTTTGCTTCAAGGATTCCATTTCCACTGAGTTGGTACCTACCTAGAAAGATGTCCAGGGATGCTCTTAATAGGATCTTGCTGACAAAGGGAGGGCCTCCACTCTATAGCATCACTGAAATAGAAGTTCAGGTAAATTTCTTAGTTAAAATCGATGAATATGCACTATCACTGCATGATAAATGCAGTATTGTTTACTATTCTACTTTATTAGATGTTTAATCTTCGGAATGTAGTGGTGTCTTGTTTTGTTATTATTGTTATTTACAGAATATTTACCTTTCTATCAAAACAGAGTACAGTCTTTTCTTGTGTTTACAGATAATATATTCTTTTAAGAAGAACCCTAATTTTGTGGGAGAACACCTTCATTTTTCCCAGAGCGTTAAAGATCCATTTGCTTTCTAAACCCTCCTCTAAATCCCTCCTCCTTCCCGCACTTCATTGCTAACATTAAAAAATTGATCTAATATGATGCTATACAAACTAAGAAAAAATGTAACTTTGAAGGCGTTCCAGATAAGTACTTTGTTTATACCTTTGTCTATTCGAAAGCATTATTTTGGAATCGAATCTAAAGCCCTGCACAGGCTTTTTTTCAAAACAGAAATTAAAACAATAAGTGAAAACAATTGTTTACCATACAGGAACATTTTCCAGAGCTTTTACATAACATTCTTTGCAACTTTTGCAATAAGTATGAGAGAACTCTTGCCACAAAAGTAGTGCTCAAAAAGCATCCACCGTTGTGAAAGCACTTCACAGACTAGTTTTATATGTGTTGCTAAAATTCCTACCGCTTTTTTGAAACCTATGACCAATATTTCCTCTGGTATGTTCCATGTATTGGAATGTAATATGAATTAGAGTGTCCCTTTACAAAAGAGACAGCTTGAATGTAGTTTTCTTTGGGGTTTTGTTTTTCTATTCTATACTCTTATAACCCATTAACATGATACACAAAGCAATAGTGTTGCTATTATAGTACACTATAATGCAGTAGAACCTATGGTCACAAATGCTTCTGTCCATGACCAAATTGGATTCCAACCAAAAAATTCACATTTTTTTTTGCAGCCGATTTCCCCTTCCACGCCATTTTTTTGTAAACACCAAAATTTCCAAAATTAGGTATGGGTCACAACCAAATCAGATTGCGACCAAAGTTATGGAATGAATTATGGTCGTGACCAGAGGTTCTGCTGCTAATAGTAGAGATGCAGCCCATGAGTTATACTCAATCCTCAGTACATCTGTGGATCCTAAAGCAACATATTGGATTTTTTAATTTATTTTTGTGGATGGAAAGTTTAAAGGCAGTATGGATAATTTGTCCCCAGAAACTTCCTGAAGAACAAGGTAGTTTAGTCAAAATTGGCACATTTATAAAATGACACTCTAATTTTAGCATTAGTGCTTTGAAATCTACTAATACATTTGATAACTTGCTTGAATGGAAAAATACATTCAAAATACATTTGCTGCATTTTGTATTAAATGAAGTATTACAAAATTCAGGGATTTTGTGTTGAAAATTGTGGCAGATAAGTTAGGTTATCAAGGATGAGCAACTTTTTGGTGGCTGAGGGTTGCACAACATTTTTGGAGAGCTCAAGGAACATTGTAGGTGGAACAAAAATGCAACATGGAGCTAACTTTTTTCATTAATTTTTGAAGGATTCTTAATTTTGTAAATTATGATAGGGCTAGGGTATCACATTCACTCCAATTTGTAGTATATTTACTGTCTCAAAATACAGGTCCTTTACTCTTGATATGTAAGTAGGAATAATATGATAGTAAAATCAATCAGCCCCAGAGAAAAATAGCAATAGCATTTACATTTGTATACCACCCCATAATGCTTTACAGCACTCTCTGGGCCATTTACAATGTCAGCATATTGTCCCCAGCAGTTTGGTTCCTTATATTACCGACCTCGGAAGGATGGAAGGCTGAGTCAACCTTGAGCCGCATCAAGATTGAACAAGGCTGTGGGCAGAGTTTGCCTGCAACACTGCATTCTAATCACTATGCCATCAGGGCTCCTATAAAATCCTATAAAAACATAGAAAATAGGATAATATATAATGGAAAAAGTAGAACTGTGATACTGTTGTTTCCACAAACAACAGTTCTCAGAACTGTTTTAAGATTAATAAAGATATTCTGTAACTGTTGCATGAGGAAGCAAATGACAGCATATAAGAGATGGTGTTACGCAAATAAAGCAACTTATGCAGTTGTGTTAAACATTAAGACACAATAGCACGGGTCTCTAACTTGCTGCATCACATTGCCATCACATGACGTTTTGCAACGTTTTCCCCATTCATGGAGTTGGGGTGGGTGTGGCCTGCACGTGACACACCCAGCCCACAGACCACCAGTTTGACACCCCTGCACAAGAGAGTGCTAATAGCATTTGCTTGATGACATCATCCTGTACATGTCATTTTGGCAACATTGTGTTTGGCTGCAAGTGGTTGTGTCTGTAATGGCACATTTTTTAACATTGTGACATAGGATAGATAATGTAAAAGTTAATACTTTACATCTATTATGGAGACAAATTTGAAATAAGTACTGGAAACATTTTGTGCAGATGAACTTTTCTCCATTTTAGATCTACAGGGATGCAAAAGAGTGTCTTAATCTTCTGTCAAATAGACTAGGCTCATCTCCATTTTTCTTCGGAAATAAGTGAGTACAGAATATTTATGGTGTTTGCAAGGCATTTTAATGCTACTACATTTTGTATTTAAAACTATGTTAAGACTTTGTTTGACTTGCCAGTTTTTAGAATCAACACTTGTTCAACAACTGATCACCATAAACTAAATGATGGGTAATTAATAAGAATTTTAAAAAGAATTCATGAACAGTTATATGGAATCCTTCAGATTCTATATAAAATGACATACTCGTACACTGAATATCAGTGGCATAATTTTCCACAATTTTGAATCAAAAAAGCAAGTTACAACATACATTCTAAAACAGGCTTAACAATTATTTTAAAAAGCCAAGTTAATCACCAACATAGTTACTACATGTCCTTTGATCCTCAACAGTTTACATACGGCTAATGTGGCCATTTCTTCCCTCTTTCAAACAGGCAATTGCCTCATCGATTAAAACTAAATTAAATTTCTAGGACCCTCTCCAGTTTGTGGAGTTTTTTTAAAAAATTAAATTCTAAATATCAGAAGTCTATTCCTCTGCATAATAAAGCGGCTTTCCTGCTAGGGCACTATTTTATGGTGCTTTTGATGAAAGCTTTAAATTGCTAAAACTAAAACAATGCCTGTCCAGTTATTTTCAAGGTTATAGCTCTCAGATCCTGCTCTGCAAAAGAACCTCACCTTCTATGTGTTTTCATTTCCAGTGCATTGCATGCTAAAGCATTGTTGATTTTTGTATAACATTCAGGATGCTGTTTTCCTTTAATCATGGAAAATCATCTTTTTTATAATTAAATTCATGTGGAAAAAAACACATTCATATATCTGAATCAATAATATGGCCATGGAAGAGATTTATGTACCTTGTCTAAACCATATGGATTCCAATCTAGATTTTCTGGGCCACATGATAAAAGATTTAGCCTGAAGCCACTTTCATCTGTTTATATGAGGGTTAGACTTACCGATGACTTGATGTTTGCTGATGAAATGTAGAATATATTCTCAACATCTGTCTTAAAGCTATTCATTTATCAATTCCTTGATATGAGGACCAACTTCTGGCATTGACAGCTGACATTACTAATAATAGGCTTTACTCTTCAGAAAAACTGCTGCTTTACATGTACAGCCTGCAGCTAATTGCAAATGCTTAGTTGAATGTTGTAATTAATTGGTTTAAGCTTATTTGATGAAGACAAATCTTGACTGATCCTTCATATTTAGAAAAAACCTTGAACTAACTGGAAAAAAATTGAAAACAAGGACTAGGAAAATTGCAGGAACAGCATGAGGAGCACAAACATAAACACTGTGTACAATGGTACAATCATTAGCTTACTCTGTCACTAAATACTGCACACCCATATGGGAAATAAGTTGTCATACTAACATGAGTGAAGCTTATCTTAATGATACAATAAGAATAACATCCAGAAACCTCAATTCTACACCAGTGTCCTGGTTCCATGTTCTTTATTACATTGTAAACACCCCCCCCCCCCAATTCAGGTGATAACAACAGACATTTGGAGAGTGGAATAAAATAAACAATCCATGGACTCCCAAAGATCTACCAAAACATAAAATACTAGATTCTCTATCTTGCACCAGGCTTAAATCTAGGAAACCAATTTGGAATAACATACCACAGTCTTATAATTTAGATGAAGAACTGTGATCAAAATGGATGACCCTTAAGAACTATAGCCAGACAGATCACGTAGAGCCAATAAAACACAGAAATGCAGCTGCCCCCCAAAATACGGAGTCATCTGAAAAGAATCAGGACTGGCCATGTTAAAACTAAGGCAAAGCTGTTTAAGTAGAGGAATGGCCGAAAGCCTGCAATGTGTCTGTGATGCATTGGAACAAATGATGATACACATAATCCAAGAAAGTCTCTTCAGGAAGTTTCAAGGCACCTGGGACGATCTCATTGCAGCAACAGTAGAAGCAGTTAGATGGCTTACTTCCTTAGATATTGAACTATTTCATCTATCCTATTGCAATTTTGTGGGGCCATATTGTAACAATTTTATCATAATTTCACCCTAATTCAGTATTTTATTTCATCTACAGTATAAATTGTCCACACACTTTACATACATCTTTTTGCCGATGCTTATTCAAACTTGTATGTATAATATGGTTTATTAATGTTGTGTATCAGTGAAATCATGACTTTACGTGTTACATTTTTACAAATTCAAAATTTTCAAACATAACATTCTACTTTCTGAAACTGTTAAAAGGGATTTGAGATAACAATGTCATATATTTATTATATCTAGACCTACAACTCTTGATGCCTTCGTGTTTGGTTTTCTTGCACCTCTTTATAAAGCACCATTCCTTAAAGTTCAGTTACAAGAACATCTGAAGCAGCTTCCTAACTTATGTCACTTCTGTGATGATATTCTGAGTTGCTACTTTAGACGAAACTTCTCAGGTAAATGATACACTTGTCCCTACACATATGCATCTTGAAATCTACAAATGCTTGTTTGCACTAAGTCTATACTAGAAATAAATTCTTCACCAGAAATCTTGGAATCTGCCTTATAAATTTGTAAGGGCTTTAAACATGGTAAAGGTTTAGGACTCCATTAACATACCTTATATGATGCTTTCTCTGTGAAAATCCTTGAAATGTTTATAGAGATTCTTGGTTGCTTCTAATTTTATCTTCTGTGTGTCTTGCCTATTTAGGGACCTCTTCAGAGGGACAAGATACAGTTGATGCGAATCTCCAGAAACTTACACAGCTTGTGAACAAGGAATCTAATTTGATTGAAAAGGTTCTTGTTCATTCTGATTTTCTAACTGATAGATAGAGGCCAGAGAGTACTTTTGACTTTAATCAGCTAAAAAGAGAAAGAGAATGAGAGCCAGGCTAGAAAAGAGCACCCAAGGAGAGCAGAATCCATCCCAAGAACCGAGTGTGAACAGCGTGTGACGCATCTGGCCCATGGGCCGCAAGTTTGACAGCCCTGCTCTAGAGTGTGCTAAGCAAATAAGGTTGAATAAGTAGTTTGTAGATATAAAAGGTTTCAATTTGAAACTTTCAGCTGAAAGTTGATTATTGCATCCATCTGTCTGTCATGTGACTGACAGATTTCAGCTTTAGCCGACTTAAACTGGAAGCACAGATTATACGGATAAGTCTCAGTCTATTAAACTAAGATGCTTTTTTTTCACCATGATGGTATCCACCTGAAATCTGTTTTCTTATAGTTTAATTTTATTATTTTTGTCCTATTTTCTAAACAAGTGAACATTTATTTCTATCTCTACATGAGAGCCTTTCAAATACCTAAAGATAATTATCATATTTCCCTACAACTTTCTCCAGGCAAAACATATAGAAATCCTATAATTATTCCTCCTACATTTTTCTTTCCAGGCTTCTTATCATATTGGTTGCATACCTCTGTACATTCTCAAATATATCAATGCTCTTTCTAAAATGCAGTACTAATAAAAGAAAAAACCAAAGAGAAAATGCAATAGCTAGAATGAACTCAACACAGTGTTCTATGTGCAGTAGGAAAAATGAACTCAGGTGATCAGGGTTAAATTTCCTTTTGGGCATTTAGACCACCACATATACTTCTATATAATTTAATACTAGGAAATTAGCAATATATCTCCACAAATGTTTGACCTCTGAATGCATATATAAATTAATGAGCATTTGATGAAGTGCTTTAGCTTCAGCAGCATTGTGAGCAGGACGGGGTGTCTTAATAACTTCCACTTTAAATTAACAGCCCTAAACTACACCTGGGATTCAATAGAGAAGTATAATTCAAATATGACAGCTAACTATGTGTTATCAATTATTTCAGTAAATAATAAAAGTATGATAAGAAAATCACTTAGTAATATTCCATGAGATGAAGGAGTGGTTCCATAAATACAATGATTATCAGTCAAAATGATTAGAAGCAGTTATTTCCTAACAAGTTGTTGGATTGTAATGTAAATTAATATTAATTAATTAATAATTAAATTATTGTTGATGGAGACACTTGAGATGCTTGCTCAGTCTTGGTTTCATTCTGGTTATTTATTCCAATCAAGTGATATATTTTCCTTATAGTTTTTTATTACCAATAGAACAAGTTGAGATAGATAATCAAAAAGTGCAACAGAGAACAAAAGTACTATTTGGTAAATTAATTACATTAGCCATTTGATGTTAGTACCCTTCCACCTGTTAATCGTTTATAGTTTGGTTTGGGTGGGAGAAAGTTGGCAACTAAGATAGAGCAATCAACTTTCAAGTATTTGTTTCTCTTTGCAGACAAATTCTTTTTTAAGCATAACTTTAGACAGATTTGTAGCTTCCTGTTTGGCAGAAGCCAGAACTCTATGTGCTTTATATAACAGTAGATATTTAGTGGTTTGTCAGAATCAGTAGAGGGAACAACTTTTTAAATGATTGGGCAATGCTCAAAATTGCTATCTGACTCTAATTTTCTTTTTAAATAAATATTTAACAAGCTCATTTCCTGTTTTGTTATTGGCAGATATTTTAATTTTATTAGTAGTACTTTTTGCTCTCCGTTGTTTGATCTTAAGGAAATAGTAGTATTACCTCTGAATGGTCAAGAATATTATTTCTCATTTTTCCACTTACTTCTAAACTGCTTTCTTATCTGATGGGAAGCTGCATGATTTTACACTTAAGTCCCTGTGACAGGGGAAAAGAAATTTGTGTAGATAAATTGGAAAGCTAGTTGTCATTCATGTGATGACATAAAATGAAGCATACAACAATGTTTAGTCAGGTCAGCTGACCGAATCAGGTCCACAAAATCAGAACATGGTGAAAAAGAGGGATGAATTACAGAGAATTGAACAGGAGATACTTTAAAAGTGTATCTCATACATAGATACTCTTTAAAGCAGCGGTCGACAACTGGTGGGTCGTGGCCCACCGGTGGACCGTGAGAAAATGTTGGTGGTCCACAAAGAAATCTCACCCCCAGAGCATCCCCCCAAAGCAATTAATCCAGACTGTGCAGAAACACAAGGCTGTGCCGCCCACATGGCCCGCGGGAACCTGCCCACTCACTCCTTACCTGGCAAACTTGCCTGCTAAATTGCTATTTTTCCTTTTTCCGACCATCATCTGTTCTGCTGTGCCGGGAGATTTAGATTAGCTAGGAAGCAGGAAATGGTTGGATTTCTTGCTTTCTAGCTAGTCTTTAGATCTTCGGCTCTGCTTTTAAGCACAGCTGAAACTCCCTTAGGACTGAAGGTTCTATTATTCAGTGCAGACTCATGGCAAGCAAATTTGAGAGACTGAGCTAGCTGATGGCAGATAGATAGATTATACAATGATTCTGTGAGCAGCTCTGCCTGCCTGCTTTGCCTGATTTTGGGTAAAAGTTGCTCTTTTTTATAAAAAATTAAATATTTATATAAATATTTATAATATTTACATACAAGCCATGCCCAGCCAGTCACATGATGACCAAGCCACACCCACAAATTAGGTCACACCCACAGAACCCTGGGATTAGTGGTCCCTGGGATTTAAAATTATGAGTTTGGTGGTCCCTGAGGTCCAAAAGGTTGGCGACCCCTGCTTTAAAGGATCACATCTCCATTTTTGTTAATGGATAAATAAGAAATAACATACTTATTAGAGTTAAGCAGTTGAAGTATAAAAAAAATATGCATGGGATTAATAAGATAATTTATTGAACTCATTAGTTATGTTCTTGAACTCAAGAAAATTGCACTATTGTTTATATAATTAATTTATAAAATAAATGATTGGACATTACAATGTGAACAGTATTAAAATTAATTTTCTTCAAACATCCAAACTGGCCTTTATCTTTCTTTTGCAGATGGATGATAATCTTCGCAAGAGCCCTCAGCATCCTCCTCGTAAGCTGACAACTGTCAAACTTTCTACAGCCGAGGAAGGAAATAATTCACTGAATCAATTGTCACCCTTATAGTTTTTTAATTTCATATTTATACATGTGTTCTGAGAAACTGTTCATCTGTAATCAAATTTTGCACTAAACTTTTTGTCTTTATGAGTCTATGGCAAACAATAACTTGACATGAGTGCAGGTCCATTCATTTAACTGATTTAAAATACACCTAAGTTAACATAAGAAAGATCACTAGGTTATTGTAAAATATGCTGTTTAATGTCACCTTTAATGCTGCATAAAGCTTGCCTTTTCAGGTCAATATGTCTTGACCAAAAGGTAGGATTTCATTTTTGGGGAATTCACTAGATTAAGTTTTCAGTTTTGACTGCAATCATGTTGAACCTCAGCTTGTATATCAGAATAGGTACTCGATCCCCACTTTTAGCATTGTTGTAGTTTTCTACAATAGCTAAAAAATTGAAATTAAAATATCAGCCTGTTAACACAGAACAGTGAATAGTGAATGGTATTTGCCATTTTGGAACATTTTGTGCAAGCAATGGTGAATATATGAAATGTATGCTATTTTTAAAAGAATATAGTTTTTTTAAAAAAACTAGTCTTACTGCCACTGTCATCTTGTTTCATATTTAAATATTTATTCAAATCTAGTTTTGCAAAGAACAGGCCTGGACAAGCCTGTTTAGCTGCCTGAAAGCATAATGCATACAAATTATAGCTACTGAGTCCTTTTCCCCCCTACTTTATTCTCTCTTACTCATTGATACCTTTTTCATGTTTCTCCAGCAATTTCAAGTTCTCTGGAATAGGGAAAAACAAGATGAAGTGAAGAGAATGTCCTTCAAACTCCATTTCTGATTTCAACCATAGCAATTGGCATTACTTCTATTTAACCTGTTTCGTGCTAGAGGTACAATTGATTTTTGCCGTAAAGCAATACATCAACCCCAACCTGAATGACCTAGCCTTTTTTCTGGGTTAGAATGTTTCAGTTAATGAATTGACAGGGTACTGAGCATGTGCAGTATGTCGATCTTTGCAAATGGAGTTCTTGATGAGCATGGGTTTCCCCAAGTACTTGAACCAAGAATGGTAGATAATAATCCACTCAGAACTGCTGTATATAGACCTCTGTCCTTGACAGTTTCTTGTTACAGTTTATTCATTTATTTTATAGGACCTAAAGGTTTAAAGCACGTATGACAAGGTAATAAAAACAGCAGCAGAGAGAAGTATAATGCCATAGCAGCACACATAAAATTAGTTATAGGGATAGAGCTTGGCATTTCCTGAAAGCCTCTAAATCTGTCTATCATAGTACTGAGAAACATTTCAGCTTAGCAGTAGTTTTGCCACAAATAATATAACAACACTAATTGTCCAAATCAAAACTAGACAGTTGTTAATAGGGCTTGGTTGTTTAAGAGTCAGGTGGTTAGGGATTGGCTTGCAAAAGGAAAGAATAAAGTAAGTTGTATAAGAAGAAAGGGGATATTGAAATATTTAAGCCTTGAGATATTTGAATAGTGTGGAGTTTTGAAGAAACATCTTACAGAGAGGTACTATGAATATTTTTGTACCTGCTTGTACCTTTTTGTACCTGGGCCTCTATTTGTAACCTAGGTAGTGCCACAAAATAACAGTACTCTACCATGGAAATCCGTAAAACTGATGAAATAAAATACAGAAGGTTACATAAACTTGGGGTGTGATCTAGGCAAGGCCCTTTCACTGATACTCAAAATTTAATTCTGAATTAAAGCAACAGAATATTTTTTAGAAAAGGACTTAAAATGCCATCTTCCTTTAATTGATTTTTTTTTGTGTGGGTATCTTAATTCTACATTTTTCATATATAAACAAACAGCTTTCCTTTTGTTTGACTTTATTTTGCCAAATCAAATCTACTTTTCTCTAAATTACAAAGTATTCAGTGAATGTAGAGACATAGTTGTCTGAATAAGTTTGTAAATTTTGTATATAAATGTACTTACAGAATATTACTTTATAAAATAAAGAATGTAGCAATCTATCTTGTATTTATAACAATATTTTGGGATGTCTAACAAGAATAAAATTAAAATTTCATGTTACTTCTGTAGGTGTTTCATTTGTTGTCTGAATCTGCAGATGCCTGTGCAAAAAATACCTGTGAAAGGAAGTGTTAACTTTTTTTCTTGACAAGCGTTTTCAAACAAGGTAGGGCTTCTCCTCCCCCCCCCCAAGTGTTCATAATACAACTTGACCATGAAAAATTTCAAAATCCGCCTAGAGACAAATAGAAATGTACAGCTTCTAACTTTAAGCCCTTTGACATGCCTGTCACTCTAATAAATTTGATTTTGCTTCTTCTGCTAAAAATAATAGATATCCTGATTACTCATCAGAAAATTTAATAATGTTTTCTTTATATAACATTTGGAGGTCCCTGAAGTCTTACATGTGGCCCTGGGGCCTCAGGTTATGCACCCCTGCTATGTTCACACAGGTTCAGGTTTACAAAATAGAGGCCACCTTCAAGGCTGTGGGAACTCTTCATCTAGGAAAAAAAGAGCAAGTGAATGCTACTAGTTGATCTCAACGGGCCACTGTGCATTTTTTATCAATTATCAATATTCTAAGTTTCCAGAAAAATAGCCAAACTTCTTGTAGCAATTTATTTTAGAAGTTGGATCTGAGAAAAGTTCAGTTATTTTTCATTTCTGTCATGAATTTTTTAAGTTGGATGTTTTGTATTATAACATTTTTGTTGTTATTCTACTGTCATAATAAAGCAAGCAAGCCATGGAATCAAATATATTAGTACATTTTCTTCAGAGATTACTATGGTCTAGCAGTAGGATGGTGGTGGTGGTGGTAATGATGACAGCAACTATAACTGCATTTTCACAATGTAGTTTATTGAGCTTTCTGTCTGGTCCTTTAAATAGAATTGTTCAATTCAGATAGTACACTCAATCAAGCTCAGACTCAAACAGCATAGATTAGGAGTGTCAAATTCACGTCATCACAGCAGCATCACGTGACGTATCGCAACTTCTTTTTCCCTTCGCTAAACCTGGCATGGGTGTGGCCAGCATGTGACGTATCTGGCCTGTGGGCTGGGAGTTTGACAGCCCCTGGCTTAGATGATATATGAACTAGCTATTGTAGTTTATATGGCAAAAGGATGTTATATGAGCTTAACTAATTGTGGCTTCTAAAATCACAATTATACCAACTATAATTTAATAGGATATGTGAACCAATGTATTTACTGTAGCTTGCCTTTTATCTCTTTCTCATTCTTAGAGATAATTCTATAGGATGTATTTTGGAATCAGATTGTAAAATCATGACTGATAACCCCAACATTCAGTAATGTAATTATGGTTCTATAAGCAATTTTCATTTTGCATTATAACTCTAAAAAGCAGTTTTGGGGAAGTCAAAGATTAATGATATCATTCACAGGATAAGCCTGTACATCTGCTTAAAAATAAATTCCATGCATTTTGGTAGTACTTAATTCTTATAGAGTTAGAATTCCATCCTAGCAGAAGTTACAGTCAGCTTTATGGTCAGGTTTTGGGTTTAAATGCTGAACATTTGTGCAAATAAATTGCAGTTTTTACAACTGTTCTCTTGCCAGAGGGAAAAATCTCTCTTGAGGAAAAAAAAATCCCTGAGGCATACAAAAAGGGGGGTTTTAGGGCAATGTTTGCTATTTTCTTCCACAAATTGAATTTCTATGTTAAAAAAATATATTGTCATGCCCTTTAGTAAACTTTAGAAATCAGAGCTTTTTATTATTATTCTAAATGACACTATTCGCAAAAAGCAACACAAACGGTTATCAGAATCTAATTTATTGTTTTCCTGTAAATTATATTTTTGATGACAGACGTGTTTTATATTGCTATGGTTACATACCTGTTAATGTTATGCTATTCCTCTTCCATTTTTTCCAGACCAAGTTCTCTTGTGCTACAACAGCTGGAGAAAATAAAGTATTTATGTCTTGGCTTCATTCAAGTGGAAACAAAGATGGATGGCAGGAAACATTAGCTAGTCAGCTGATACTGCACATACAGTACTGAAAACTGTATCCGGGCCTCTTTTTACACAACACGTGTATGCTGAGCTTAGAGAATGGGAGCCTTGACAAGCCAACTTTTCAGCATTAGTTCCCAAAATGACTAATATCAAATTCTTGCATAAAGAAGCTTTTTGGATACTGATATTTTGATCAGTTTTTATTTGCTGGCTCTTGTTCTTCTTTCATTCGGCAAGTCTTTTGACAGTTGGTGTTCATGGATGGATGCGCTCTGCTAGTCTTCTGCCTGTTTGTCCTACATAGTGGCTATTGCAGTCCTTACATTAGAAGAAAAACATCTACAACAGTGGCTATATCTATGGTATACATCTGCTTTATGATTCTCAAAAACATGTTCTTATGTTCAAAAAATACCATATAACTTTGTTCTCTTTGTGGTCTTCACATGTTGTTAAGTTAATTAACTCAGTTGCTGCTCCAGAAAAAACACAAGAAAGATAAATATGCTGCATTTCCTCTGAAGCTGCTGGCAGATGTTTCTCAATTGGCAAGAACTCCTCTCTTGTCCACTTTCTGGTTCCGAAATAGTTGTTTTCCTGAATTGAAATTGCCATGCCAACATTCTTTCATTGTTTTTTCACCACTTCGACTTAGCCATGCCCCCACACAATTTTTTCCTCTCCACAAAAATGCACTGAGGGAAAACAAAAAAGTGGGTCGGTAGTTTTCATTGATTAAATTGTGAAGCACTGCGTGATGGAAAAAATGCTATTCAGAGTTTGCGGGAAAAGCCAGTGGTCATGTGGAAAAGACATAACCCTCATTTTCTTTTTCTTTTTTTTTCTAATGGCAGGATAGTCCAGTTTGCACTTCCCTTAGTATACCAGAAAAAGGCATAGAAGTTAGACCACCGCTTCCTCAGCAGAGGCAGCCCTGACTATTGCAAGAAAAAAAATTGTCAACATAATGATGTCTTGTCGAGACTCACTTTACTAAAGCATGTGTTTTGTGATACAGAAATTAACTGCCTCATGGAAAAGAGTGTGAAATAGCTTGCTGGAAATCCCAGGAATTCTATACATAATTAGTTCTATTCAACACATGAAATAGGATAGTTTTTGACAGCAGTGGAATGTTGGACATGGGAGTAAAGCTGGGCTTGGTAGCTTGCATCCATCTGTATCATTCCAGATGGTTTGATGTCAATCCCCATTATTTAATTGTAATAAGAATTATAGAAACTGGTAAGGATGACAGTTGGAGTTCAATACATCTTAAAGGTACCAGCGAGGTAAACGAGCAGGAATTTTAAACAGACTAAGGAATGTGGGAGGGGCTCCTCTCCCTTCAAGCTTTCTAACTAATTTACGCTCACTTGCGAAGATGGATGAAATACATCTCTTAAATATATGGAATTCTGATTTCTACAATTCAGCAGTTCTCTGTTTTACTGAAACCTGGCTTAATCCACAAATTCATGGGGACAAAATCATTTACATCCCAGGATTCCAGATATTTAGATCAGACAGAATTGAGGAGACATCAGGTAAAACAAGGGTGGAGGATTATGTTTATATATCAACAACAGCTGGTCTCAGGATATAACTATAATATATAAATTCTGTGATGAAAATTTAGAGTCTTTACGTATCAACTGCAAGCCATTTTATTCTCCACGTGAGTTCTCATTTCTCCTAATAGCTGTGTATGTTCCTCCACAAGCTTGTGTAAACAAGGCATTATAAACTCTTGCTGATCAAATTATGGAGGCTGAAGCCAAACACCCAGATTCCCTTCACATCATTTTAGGGGATTTCAATCAAGCAAATTTAAGGAAAGAGCTCCCAAAATATTTCCAGCATGTAAACTGTCCCACCAGAGGCAAAAATACTTTAGACCACTGCTACACAACAGTAAAAGATGCTTATAGGTCTTTACCATGAGCAGTTGTGGGACACACTGCCCACTGCATGAGTCGCCTTATACCTGCCTACAGACAAAGACTTAAAACCATGAAATCAATGATTAAATCAGTGAGGACTTGGTTTGATAAGGCAAAGCTGAAGCTCCAGGCTTGTCTTGATTGTACTGATTGGAATGTTTCTGAAGATACCTCTGCAGAGCTACATGAGCTCACAGATACTGTAACATATGTCAGCTTCTGTGAAGACTTAGTGTACCAACAAGGAACCTGCAAATATATAATAGCAATAAACCTTGGTTCACAGCTAAACCTAAGCAGCTACATCATTCCAAAGAGGAAGCATACAGAAAAGGTGACAGAACGCTATACAATCAGGCCAGAAACATATTAACGAGAGATCAGAGCAGCAAAAAGAAGCTACTCTGAAAAGTTAAGGAACCAGTTCTCAACAAATGAACCAGCAAACATATGGAAAACTCTTAAAAACATCACTGGCTACAGCAAACCTCCTTCCCAGGCAGAAGGAAATAAACAACTAGCAGATGACCTGAACGTGTTTTACTGCAGGTTTGAAAGGAAACTACAGCCACCTATCTCCACAACCCCCATCTCAAACACACCAACAACAGCCAAGCCTTCTACAACTGGCCCCAACCCATTGGGTTCACAAACTGGTGATCACAGAAAAAGAAGTGCAAGTTCTATTACATAGACAAAAGCCAGGAAAAGCACCAGGGCCAGACAAGATAACTCCTTCTTGCTTAAAAGTCTGTGCTAACCAGTTGGCCCCCATCTTCACCTGAATCTTCAATAGATCACTAGATATGTGCTATGTTCTTTCCTGCTTCAAATGCTCTACTATCATCCCAGTGCCAAAGAAGCCCTCCATCAAGGAACTGAATGACTACAGACCAGTTGCTCTAACATTTGTAGTTATGAAAATCTTTGAAAGGCTTGTTCTGTCCCATCTGAAAACCATCATGGATCCTCTGTTAGATCCCATGCAGTTTGCATACCGAGCAAATAGATTGACAGATGATGCTGTTAATATTGCTCTGCATTACATCCTACAACACCTTGAATCTCCAAATACCTACACAAGGGTCCTCTTTGTAGAGCATTCAATACCATCATTCCAGACATTCTTCTAAGTAAATTAAACCAACTAGCAGTACCTGAACACACTTGTAAGTGGATCGTAAGTTTCCTAACAGATAGGAAGCAGCAGGTGAAGCTAGGTGGAATCACATCGGATACCTGCACAATTAGCATGGGCCCCCCAGGGCTGTGTCCTTTCTCCACATCTCCCAATATACCAATGACTGCATCTCAAATGATCCATCTGTTAAAATACTGAAGTTTGCTAATGACACAACAGTGATTGCTCTCATTCAAGACAACAATGAATCCGCATACAGACAGGAGGTTATACAACTTGCCTTGTGATGTAACCGGAACAATCTGGAACTGAACACACTCAAAACCATAGAAATGGTGGTAGATTTTAGAAGAAACCCTCCCATACTACCACCTCTTACAATACTAGACAACACAATATCAACAATAGAGACCTTCAAATTTCTAGGTTCTACTATATCACATGATCTAAAATGGACACCTAACAAAAAATGTCATCAAAACACAACAAAGAATGTTCTTTCTACGCCAACTCAGAAAGCTCAAACTGCCCAAGGAGCTGCTGATCCAGTTCTACAGAGGAATTATTGAGTCTGTCATCTGCACCTGTATAACTGTCTGGTTTGGTTCTGCAACCTAACAGGACAGACACAGATTTCAGAGGATAATTAGAACTGCAAAAAAACAATTACTACCAACCTGCCTTCAATTGAGGACCTGTATACTGCACGAGTGAAAAAGAGGGCTGTGAAAATATTTACAGGCCCCTCACATCCCGGACATAAACTGTTTCAACTCCTTCCCTTAAAACGATGCTATAGAGCACTGCACACCAGAACAACTAGACGCAAGAACAGTTTTCCCCCGAAAGCCATCACTCTGCTAAACAAATAATTCCCTCAACACTGTTCAACTATTACAAAGTCTGCACTACTATTACTGTTAATCTTCTCATCACTCTTTATCACCCATCCCCTCCCACTTGTGATTATATGACTGTAACATTGTCGCTTGTATTCTTATGATTTATATTGACTGTTTCCTAGTATGATTTGATTGCTTATTGTACCCTATGACTATCATTAAATGTTGTACCTTATGATTCTTGATGAATGTATCTCTTCTTTTATGTATATTGAGAGTATTAGCACCAAGACAAATTCCTTGTGTGTCCAACCACATTTGGCCAATAAAGAATTCTATTCTATTCTATTCTATTCTATTCTATTCTATTCTATTCTAT